TTTCTCAAAAAAAGCACCGTACAGAAATGGCAATGAGCATACCAGAAAATAAAGTCGCTGTGAGCTGTGTGTGTTCCTCGTTTAACAACTGAACAATAAAAATCATCTTAGAGTGATTTTCGCGAATCTGGGGGCGGAGGAGGAATTCATGGCCCTTATTTTCTCAGAATCAGACTTGTAACACTAGATTTTGTATATTTTGCATTCATATTTTATAAATTTACATATTTTATATCCAAATTTTATATATAAATTTTGCATTTCACATATAAGTTTTACACACGAGTACAACGAGAATTCAGAAATGCGCTTTTTGACACTCTTGATAATTTTACTAAGTTACTTAGGGTCTCGACTTTCATAAAATCCGGTAAAATTGATTTTACAAGGCAATGCTGAGGTCCTGGACATTTAAGGCATGTTAATTTAGTATTTTGGATGGTTTTTTGCATTTTGATATAGCTCAAAATTGCCTCCCAATGGTGATATATTAAAAAGTGGTGTAAGAACGAAAATAGCGATTTAGAGAGGCGATTTCTGATCGGTCAAAAGTCCGATGAAGTATTCACTCAAGTTATGGAACTTATATATTTTATAAGAATTTTTCTCACTGTATACATATATTTTAAATGTATTGACGGAAAACTATCAGTATGATTTATAAAATCCGAGGAAGGCGGAAGGAGTTAGAACTTCGGCAAATCAGCTAAATCCTAGATGTTCAGGCCAAAAGATGTACGCTGACGGAAGATGGGAAAAATGTTTGTGGCTTACCAGAGATGAAGCATATAAATAGTTGTTATATTATTAAATCTGGAAATGAGAAAAGTAACAATTGAGAATGTTTATGGCTTACTGGAGATGAAGCATAAAGCAGTTGGTATATTATTAAATCAAGAAATGAGAAGAACAACGGTCATATACAACTTGGAATGTCCTGATGCGATTTTTACCAAATTTACTATATACTGCCGGGACTTGCTACTGCACTGTAATCTACTGCAGTTTCATTGTGTATAATATGTGTAAAAGACATGTATTGTACAGACTCCATCTGTGTGTTTTTTACAGTATTATTTTGCTCGGCTTAAATGCTCAAATCAAGCGTTAAATCAGCCCTATTAAGGCATGTAAGGGACATAATATCGGCAAGTCTGGCAACTACTAAAGCTCGGCTTAGCTCGGCTCGACCGGCGTCATACACGATTTGCGAACGATTTTTTCACATTTATTCAGGAATTTCGACGGTTTTCGCTGCAGGAGTCAATTGGTACGATTTAAGTGAAAAATTTTGATTAGCGTCGAATATGCTGTGCCTGAACTAAATGATGTGAACAACGGCGATCTTCGAGTGATCATTGGTCAGTGGACACGCGCGTAATTCACCTGCCTCACGTCACACATCTACAAAAATCAACGTCGAAACGCTTCAGT